CATTCTGAGTAGGTCTCTTAAGAATGTCATTTCTGGGCCAAGTGCGGTGGCTCACGCCTGTAATTCCAGCACTTTAGGAGGCCAAAGGAGGAGGAGTGCTTGAGTTAAGGAGTTTGAGTCCAGCCTTAGCAAAAGCAAGACCTACAAAAAATAGAAAAAGTAGCCAGGCATGGTGGTACTCCATTGTAGTTCCAGCTACTCAGGAGGCTGTGGCAGGCTATAACTCAATCAACTGAGCCCAGGAGTTTGAGGTTGCAGTGAGCTATGATGACACCACTACCCTCTAGCTGGGGTGACAGAACAAGAGCCTGTCTCAAAAAAAAAAAAAAGTCATTTCTACTGCCTTGTCTTTAAAACATATTAACAGCATCTTGCAAACTATTACTATATAGGATGCTCCAAACATACTTATATGCTGAATTAAAAAGTAGACTTAAATTTAGTATACCGTTTTGGATATCCAGAAACATTGCAAACTCAGCTGTGGGCTAATTACTCTTCTTGGGGGTGGGGGAAGCAGTTGAAAATTAAGGGCTTAAGTGGGTATCTCATTTCATTTTTAATGGATCTCCGTACCCTTGGCTATATGGTGAATAGGTGAAAAAAATCAATATTTTGTGCAGAAAAATTATTCAATCTTCATATTAAAACACTTTGTCCATAGCAATTACTTTAGGGAAGAGATGTCGTTACTTTATTTGCTCTTAATTGAGGGCTTTAATTCACAGAACCTATACTTTAAAGATTTTTATTTTCAAAGCATGAGAAATGTAGCCATTATTTCACAACTGTTACTTTAAAAATCTATTTTTCTTTTTAATCTCAAATACTTTTCTTTCTTTTCTTTTCCCTTCCCTTCCCTTCCCTTCCCTTCCCTTCCCTTCGCTTCCCTTCCCTTCCCTTCCCTTTTTCTTTCTTTCTTTCTTTCTTTCTTTTTTTGAGGCAGGGTCTCGTTCTCTCCCCCAGGCTGGAGTGCAGTGACAGGATCATATCTCACTGCAGCCTTGAACACCCGGGCTGGGACTACAGGCACACACCACTAACTTCAAATAGTTTTTTCTTAAAAGCTTTTGACTTTTTGTCTGAATTTTAATAGCCAGATCACCTTCCTCCAACTAGAATATCTTTTTTTTCTTTTCTTTTTTCCTCTCAAAATGTAGGCTTGGATCTTAATTTGGAGTCAGGTTCTTCATTATAAACCTGGACTTATCAAAATTCCTCAGAGGATATATTGCATATAATACTGGACAGTTCTCTGATTAAAACGATATTTAATAGTACTTTAAGATCTTTCGTATGAATTTAGCTGCTTTCTCCATTTGTAGTCCTTTCAAAATACTATGCCAGAAATAATTTACAAGAATATCAAGAGTTCAGATCATATCAGCACAATCACCTAAGTGCCTATTTGATTTATTAAACATATGCCCCATTTTTTGACTTGATAAAAATAGGTGTTAAGTAGTTGAATCATTCAGTAACTTATACTGGGTTTATGGATGGCATCTCAAGACTGTTTTATTAACAGATTTATGAACATATAAAACATTCAATTGTAATCACCTTGTAGATCTAAATTTCACTTGACTTGGCATCTTGATTTCTGGAAATCACAAGGAAGTGAAAAATAATTACAAGAGGTTTTCATTTATTACACTATTAAAATGGTGAGTAAGACACCCTGAAAGGAATGCACTGAGACAGTTCTATTCATGGAACAATACAATGCAATTACAGCTAGCACCAAACTTAACACTGTTTAACTCTCTACATAATATTTTGATTTATCTTGATCCAAACTTCTCAGGGAGGAGGTGCGTTGAAGTTACCAGAAAATACTGACTTAGAATTAGAATATGTCTTTAAAAGCTTCTTTGCCGGAAGTACTCTAGCCTTACTCAACAGATCACTGAGAAGCCTGGAAAAACAAACCCCGGAAAAGAATTATTATGTGCCAATTATATAAACATAGGTAAAACCCAATGTGATTCCTAGCTGTTGAAAAACACGTCAGACATAATGCATTACCAACAGTTTAATGATATAAGGAAACCAGAGCAATAGCTAAAAAACTTTAAAGCTAAAGAAAAGATTTACAAATTGCCTCTTGATCCAGTCTTATCCCAACATAAAAACTGAGTTCCCTAAAGATTTCAGTATTTGTTTCTGAAGGAAAGGGAATGTGGTCATTTATCTAATCATCATTAGAACCCTGACTAATGATACAGGGATTTAGATCTCAAGGCACTTTCACCAAAAATTCTGGATATGATTAACCTTAGAGCAAACCACTTCCACCTGTGGAACTTGCTTTTCTTCTCTTCCCCCATACCTCACCCTTGCTGAGCATATTCAGATTGCTTATACAAAGCTTTGCTGTTGTGTTTGAAAAGTCATGACATACAGTGAATGGGCTTGTGCAACAAGGGCCGATTCAGAAATGGAAATGTGCATATGAAATTTCACAAGATTTTAAAGTTAAGAGTTGATCCGGTAATTGACCAAAATTGACTGAATCCATTTACTAATATTTATTAGATCAGATAAATACATTTGTTCTTTTATCTGATCATCCATTCATCAATCCTTCCATCAGTCCTATCCGTATCCCTCAGTCAATCCAAATATTAATATTTATTGAGCACTTTATGTAAACCAAGCACTATGCCAGGTGCTGTGAATTCAATGGAAAACAAGATAGAGTACCCTGCTCTTGTTGAACTTATGTTCTTAGGGTGAAGATAAGCAATAATCAAGGAAAAATACATAAAATAATAACCGTGATTATTACTATGAATAAACTCAGCAGGGTGTTGTGCATAACATTTGGTTGATCTGGTTTTCTCAGTTGTCTTGGAGAACAAACTTGTGAAAGTCCCATTGTAGGGCTCTTACGATGGATAGGAAGACAACTGTGTTATTATTGTTTACCATCGTATCCCAAAGGCCTAGTTCATCACCAGCTTCCTAATAAGTGGTCTGTGAGGTATTATTATTATTTTTTGTTATCCTAAATATGGAAACTTTTAAATTTTTTATTGATATATCATAGTTGTATATATCTTTGGAATGTGAAAATTTTACAAGTATTCCCTTTAAAATCATAAACCTGATATCCATGCCCCCTATCTAATTTCTACTCAGCAATGTGGTAGAGGTCCTAGCCAGTGCGATAAGACAATAATAAATTCTAGGCATTAGTATTGAAAAGGAAGAAATGAAATTGTCATTATATTCAGATGATACAATTATTAATTCTTTTTTGAGACAGGGTCTTGCTATGTTACCTAGGCTGACCTTGAACTCCTGGGCTCAAGCAATCTTTCTACCTCAGCCTCCCAAGTAGCTGGGACTACAGGCATGAATAAATTATTGTTATTATTATTTAGGTTTGTTATATACTCTAAAACATTTACTGTGGTTCATGCACTAGTTCTAGTTTACAAACTGTTACTGGTCTGTGATAAGATAAGTATAGAAATTGAGAGTAAACATTTAGAAATCCATTTTTATTATACATTTTTTAAAGTACTAATTTACAGTGAATTGGAAATTAAAAAATAAAACAAAACCGTCCTTCACCACAGATAGTTGAAAAGTACTACTTTAAAAGATCATTTGCTCAGCTATACTATAAAAAGGCCAAATGATTAAAAATATATATATTAATAGGAATGATGTAAGGCAGTGGTCCCTGACTTTTTGCCACCAGGGACCAGTTTCATGGAAGACCATTTTTCCACGGACAGGGTGGGAGAGAAATGGGTTTAGGATGGTTCAAGTGCATCCCATTTATTGTGTGGTCAAACCTCTCCACTAATGATAATCTGTGTTTGCAGCTGCTTCCCAGCACTAGCATCACCGCCTCAGTTCCGCCTCAGATCATCAGGCATTAGATCTCATAAGAAGCATCCAACTGAGATCCCTCACATGTGAAGTTTACAGTAGGGTTTGTGATCCTATGAGAAACTAATGATGCCGCTGATCTGAGAGGAGGTGGAGCTTATGCGGTGATGCGAGGGATGAGGAGCGGCTGTAAATGCAGATGAAGCTTCTCTGGCTCCCCACCCTCCCTGCTGTGTGCCCAGTTCCTAACCAGCCACGGATGGAGGTTGGGGACTGCAGATTTAAGGGGAAGGTAATGAACAGTTATTCAGTGCCAACAAATGTCAGGCAGTTTATTTAATGGTCAACTAATGACTGCAGGAATGTTCTACTGTGTTCAAAGCACCTTCAAGTGCTGGCTTCTGAGCTGACGTCAGAACACAGAGTTGGGGCTGTCTGTGGGCCACTCACAGTACTACACGATGTTCTCATTTCCATGCTATGCTCTTACCATTTTTAGGTAACAAGAATAGTTTTTTTCTTTTCCTTAATATCCTTTTTGCTTCCCAAAATTCCTATCTTGCCAATCAGGGTGGATGTAAGAATTTGATTTGACAACTGTCTAAAATGCTAGTCCACTGAGGCGTGGTAAGCCTTGGTTGAACCTGCCTTCTCTGGGAAGATACTGCTGCCTGAACATATTCTTGTTTATTGTCAGGCCTGAACTTGACATAATTAACCTATTGGGGACAGTAATGTTAAATATTACTGTCTAATATACTAAATATTAGAACTATTTCAGATTAATTAACTTTCAACTCATATCCACTTTGGGGACTATATCAAGCTCCAGGTCTCTGCTTCTGGCTTGAGAAGACACTATCTTTGCTTGTCTTTAATGCAAAATGGACGTTTTCAATCTTTAGTAAAGGTCAGTGATAAATGAAGCCAGCATCGGGGGTCCAATTTATTATTGCCAGTTTCTCTATCCTGTTCCAGCATTGCTCTTTACCATGTGTCAATGTTGGAGTGTTCAGAAAGGTTTGAATGAGTAAGTGAAAATCTGATGACAGGAGAAAATATTCAGTGGTTTTTATTGAAGTCCAATGCTGAATTACATTTATGGCATGGTATCTGAATGTCACAGGAATAATCCCATCACTTTTACCTTACAGGTGGGCCTCTTGGGAAGAACTGGATCAGGGAAGAGTACCTTGTTATCGGCTTTTTTGAGACTACTGAACACTGAAGGAGAAATCCAGATTGATGGTGTGTCTTGGGATTCAATAACTTTGCAACAGTGGAGGAAAGCCTTTGGAGTGATACCGCAGGTGAGCAAAAAGACTTAGCCAGAAAAAAGCAACTGTATTGCATTTTTACCTTTATTTGACACTTGTGCTCAAGAAATTCACATTACCCTGCAAAATATATTTGTGATGCATTGCCATCTTTTTTCTTCAATGCAGTCTTTTCATAGGCATAAAAAATTTTCTGAAAATTTGAGATTTTATGTTACTTATATTTATTGAAATGTTCATAGTTTTGATAGCATTTCCCAGAAGACAGTCTGCAGCAGGAGCCTGGGGCTTTTGTGTTTACCAGCTTTTTTTCCTCCTGCTTCAGTGGTCTGAGCTCCAACTTAGCAGTCACAGCAGGTTGAGAAATGCTTTGCAAGCCCATAAAAGATGCTCCTGAAATAACAAACACTTGGAAGCATGAGCTAGTGGAATTGAAAATAGAAAGTGTAATGATTGTTTTTTGTTCTTTGGATAGGATGAACCATGTCAGATTAATCTGTAGCTTCTTTTTTTAAATGTCACTCTTTGATTTGAGTCACAAAGGATCTTTAGCCTCACTGGCTTGGTATCATTCTATCTGTGTTATTGTGCAAGAGCACTTCTTGTATATGAGAGAAATAGCAATGGTTCCAGTTTAAAATGATCTAAATGGAGACCAAGAAATATCTTTACTGGGACCAAATCTGAAAGGCATTTATTGTATTTCTGCTAGTATTTGCTCTCATCTCTCTGGGCATATTCACTGTTGTAATGATCATTTTCCTCCCTTTGTACTAATGGGCACTGAATCCCTTCCACTGCCATGGTTCTTTCTAACACTTCTCTACTTTTAGCACAAAATTAAAATGCCAGGAGCATCTCCAGGTAGATTGACTACAAATCTAGACCAAGAAAAAAGCTCGTATTTCTTGATAGATTACGTTTGTGAAACATTGCTCCTTTCAACTAATGGGCACTAAATTTTCTAACTGCTAGACTGATGCTTTTAACTCACTTGTGTAGACTTTTGCTATGCTGCCAGAAGCTTAATCCTGGTTGGAGTTTTGAAAACAGTATTGTTTCTAGGGAAAGAAAAAAGGGATTGTCTGATACTCTACAGATAAAGAAACACTGGAAATACAAGTATCCCAAGGTGATAGCACTAGGCAACATAAAAATGTTGAAAAACATAAAATAGAATCAGAGAACTTGTCAGAGAAGTGTTGTGATTCAGTTTAACCTTAGTCTTTTGGTCCCATTTTTAATTAAAAACAGCGAGACTTTTAGGTTTTGTTGTTCTTGCTCACATAAATCTGCCCTTACACTAAGCTAAGCTTTAAAAATTAATTTCAGTTTCACTGGAAATCCTTTAGGGTATCTGCCACATGGTGGAGAGGTTTTTATTTTATTGCAGGCTCTACTTAGGAATCTAAATATGCAAGACCTGAAGGAAGACTGAGTGGGCCAGAGTTATGAAAATTCTTTGTCTTGCCTTTCTGTCAAAGTGAATATTCCAAATTTGCCATTTTTCATTTTCCCTCTTCTATAGCTTCAAGATTTGTATAAACTAAACAAGAAATACTTTCAAAGATTCCTTCAGAAATGCTTGATGATGCTGATATAGATGCTTCTCATGTATATGTTTATGATCCTGGTTTATGAGATTGTCTTTTAGTATTATAAGCACATCTTTAGATAGAATGTACTATTTTTTCCACTGTGACAATTTTTTTTGTTTTATCTTGTTTTTTGAGACAGAGTCTCACTCTGTCATCCAGGCTAGAGTGCAATGGCATCATTGTAGCTCATCGAAACGTCAAACTCCTGGGCTCAAGCCATCCTTCTGCCTCAGCCTCGTGAGTACCTGGGACTGCAGACACATGCCACTGAGCTGAGCTAATTTTTTCTATTTTTAGTAGAGACAGAGTTTGCTCTTGCTCAGTCTGTCTCGAACTCCTGAGCTCAAGCAATGCTCCCACCTCAGCCTCCCACAGTGCTAGGATTACAGGCATGAGCCACGGCACCTGGCCCACTGTGACAATTTTTGAACATTATGTGAATGCCCAAGAAAATATGTGAGGGCAAACTCCTCATATATTTTTGATGTCCAAACCAAGAGATGCTTTTATTTTTCTAACTTTTCTGTGAAAGTTCAAATTAAGTAATTTTTTCCTTTCCTGGAGTTTGATCTTTAAAAAAAAAGGAAGAAAAATCCAAGGAGAGCTATTTTTATTTGCTTTTTTTCTTTCTTCCATCTCCCAGACCTTGTGAGGGCATAGTTCTGATGATCTCTGACATTGAGACATTAGAGATCTCTGGATCAATTAGTCACTTGTTTTCAGACACATGAAACAGGAACTTTGAATAAGAAACTTCCTCTCTTTCTAATAGTGATCCTGAGACACCAGCTGTGGAATCACAAGATGCCATTGGTTTTGGCAAGTCCTTGCAGTTTTTTTGTTTTTTTAATGTTCTTCCCTCCTGTAAGCTAGAAAGCAGTCTTGGAGACTGTGCCAACTTAGAAGACAGACTATTGTGTACGTTTCCAGGTAGAGCCTCCCTTAATATGTTCTACTTTACCTGTGATCTATGAGGTCATGAAAAGGAGACAATGAGGCTTTTAGTCAGAGTCACATTGATTTAGGTAATTCGAACACCAAGACTTAAGATGGTTCATTAGCCTTTAATCTTAAGTGCTTAATTCTTAAAAAACAGAAAAATAATTTTTAAATGTATTTTTAAAGCTTTGGTTACAAGTTTGAAAGACTGCAAGCTATTCTGAGGAAATGACTAGGCTTATTCTTGCAATGAGACTTTATGATCTGAAAATAATCTGTGCTCACACGACTTCCACCACAGAATTGGGGCATCTTTGGCTCTGTGGGCTATGAGATGGGGCCAAAACATGTATCTGTAGATCTGAACGATGAAGTCAGGGGTGTAGCAGTTCTCATTCAGTTTTATAATTAACAATTTAATAATTAGTTATCAAACCCCATCTGCATGCTTAAAATTATAAGTATTACAGCTTCGTAGTTATGCGAAAGGTATAGCTAGCACTTGTCCTTGATCTGTCACCGTGAGGTCCCAATCCAACCTCTGAGCTTCTAACGAGAAGCTCAAAATTACATTCATTGTCATAAGTCAAAGATCAAAGGAAGAAAGAATGTAACCAAAATGGTAAATTAAATATAGGTAGTTAAATGTAGTCATGGGTCAAGGCATGGGCTAGTCAGGGAGTGCTGTGGATAATGGTGAGGGAAAGGCCAGCCCCAAGCGCTCATGTCCCCACTCCGCCACATCAGTGTGTCCTTCCTTTTTTCCTGCTCCCACTGCTGTGTCTTTCTCCTATCTTTTTCCTTGTGTCCCCCCATATATGTTGCATACAAATTAAACTTTTTAGAGCAACATTTAGGTTTTTCACTCCAGCCCCAACATTCTACTCCCATGTTCCAGTCCCACATAGGATCTAGAACCTTGTTTATAAATCTCTCCTGGCATTTTTGAAATGTCTTGTATTAGAAGTTCTCATTCAGTTATCTGTGGATTTGTTTCTTTCACTGAGTGTTGTAAACACTTTGCAGACATTCAGTTAAGGAAGCAAGATTTAAACACAAGATCATCAACAATTGAAACAGATGAGCAAAAAGAATATAATAGAAGTGCTAAATGAAACATATATTTTTTTCCCTTACTATTTTTTTAATCTCTTACAGAGTGGATAACACAATAGCTTCCATGATAAGAATTCAATATACATTGTTTTGTGCTGAGTCACTAAATGCTTGATCTCTTTTACGAGGGATTGTAGTTCTACCAGTATCTGGATTTTAATCTGTATGTCTTAGGCAAGTCACTTAATTTCTCTGTGATTCACTTTCCTTGTCCATAAAGTTAGTATAATGGTAGTAACTACTTCATTGCGTTTTTGTGAGGACTGAATGAATTAATACAGGTAAAGTACTTAGACTCCTTCCTGGTACATAGTAAGTACAATATACTGTATTGTAGTGGTGGTTATTATGTATAGTTCCTTGAGGACAAGGGATCTTGTCTCCTCCTTGGATTGGAGGTATATAATACAGGAATGAACAGTGTGGACAATTTCACAAAGAGGATGATAATTAAGGTCAGCCACAAAGGGTCATAAAACTTGTAGATTTTAGAAAGTTTGAGGGCATTGAGGTACGGAGATGGTATTCCAGGATCCCTGACAGGAAGATTATGTACAAGTACAAAGATGGGAACTGAAAACATTGGGATGCAAAGGGTCAGGGGAGGCCACATGTTAGGGAGTATTAGGAGAAAGAGGGAAAAACATGCTAAGTACCAGCATGGTCCAGTGAGGCGTGGGTTGACTCTTTCTGAGTGAGAAAGAAGCTGGTGAAAGGGTGGTAGAGGATCATGCTGCTGCTGGTGGTATGTGGAGGATAGACCTGGGGAAGCAGCAGGAGAAGCAGGGACGTGGGCTATGAAACTCTCCAGCTGTGATGTGACAAGAGTCTAGACTAAAATGAGGACAGTGGGGAGGTGCAGTGCTGAATTCAAGGGTGAAGAGAAATTTAACTGGTGTGGAAAAAAGTATAACACAATGGTATTGCTTCTGAGCCAAAAATTTTAAATTTTTGATAATTTGGTCTGGACAAGAAAACATTTTTTATGCTACCTCTGAAAATGTGTATACTAGAAGTTGTAGTATAAAAAAGTTGTGAAGCATTAAATAATTTTACAGGAAACAGCTTGTATATCTTACATGTAATTTACATACAAATATATGATATGTACATTGATATTATAAAATTATTTTGTATTTGTTATAAATCTTATTTGCCTGAGGAATATTTTATTCATCTTGTCCTAGTTAGTAGCCATTCTCAAAAGCAAAGCAGGTAGGGTGCAGTGGCTCACATCTGTAATCCCACACTTTGGGAGGCTGAGGCAAGAGGATTGCTTGAGGCCAGAAACTGAAGATCAGCTTGGACAACATAGTGAGACCATATCTCTACAAAAATAAGAGAAATTAGCCAGCCATAGTGGCATGCATCTGTAGTCCCAGCTATTTGGGAGGCTGAGGCAGGAGGATCACTTGAGCCCAGGAGTTTGAAGTTACAGTGAGCTATGACATGCCATTGTACTCTAGCCTGGGTGACAAAGCAAGACCCTGTCTCAAAAAAAAAAAAAAAACCAAACAAACAACAAAAGAAACCCAAAGCAACACTTATTTGTTTTTTCCTAGCAATACTTATTTTTAAACATTCTCTAATGTAATGTTAGGATCTCGATTTGTTTACATTGGATAGATTTTTATTATATAGATTCAATTTATAAGAAAATGTTGCTGACATTGTTAAAAAGGAAGATAAAACCACTGTGATACTTATAAGCATTTAGGCCATGCCACGTTTTAATAGACCTATGCATGATATATGTGTATATATGTGTGTGCGTGTGTATAAATACATTCCTTCTGAGCTACAACAAAACAGCACTATACACTTAAAGGTAAAGAGTCATTCCTCCCGCTTCTGTAATTTATATTCTATTCAGTCACCACAGTAGCCAAATTGCTTTTTTGTTTTTCATTTCACCTCCAATGCTAAAGCATAATGCCTGTTGCAGTAATGCGTGACCAGCTCTAAGAACTCCATGTAGGCTCAGCTGTTTCCACTGAGTTGAGTCGAGTTGAGGAGTCAGCCTTAGCAAAGACATTAGTCATGTGGTGAATAATGGTGCTCTTATTCTTCCTTGAGTTTCAAGAATTGTTCTTTATACCATACATGACGTTAAATAAATATCAAATATTTACACACTCTAACGTTCCTATTAGTGAACAGTTTCTTAGAGATAAGGCATCATTGTTATGATTGATAGTTTAAGGTATATTTTTTGCTGCACAGTCAGTCTGAATGTAGCACATTGGACAAGCCATGTAATCTTCCAGGGTTTTGGTTGTTTCATTTGTAAACTGGGGAAAAGGACTTACATGACCTCCAAGGACCTTTAAGCTTTAGAGATGAGTTTGTGGAAAATTCAAACAGTTTATAAAACAGAACTAGACACCCACTGGCACCCTTGGAAGCAAGAGAGTGGCAGATACTATTTGTAATACAGAAGTGGAATGTCTGATTAATTGTATAAAATTGAATTCTAACCAAACCAGTTTGTTCAGTTAATTCCTTTTTTAAATTACAGGAGTACTTACTCCATTACCTTATGCTAGACAATAAATTATGAACAAAAGATCTACAGAATTTATGAATGGTATCAAATCTACCACACCTAAAACTTTTTGACATCTAATTTCAACAAACAGATTTCTTTCTTCATAATTTTTAAAATATATATCTATTTTAACTAAAATTAATATATGATATATTAACATACATTTGATAGGTATTTGATATAAATTATTAGACTACAGTATTATGAGTAAAGGTTAGGCAGACCATTTCCCAAGCAATTATAAAGAAGGACTGAAGTTTTAGTGGGTTCTTAGTATAATTCCTTTAAATACTGTGATACTTATAAATATTTTGGCCACTTTTTAATAGAACTATACATGGTGTGTATGTGATATGTGTATGTATGTCTGTATGTGTATACACACACACACACACATATATTTTTGTTTCCCTTCTGAGCCAAAGAATCCCAGTAGGTTGTAGTAGCTATTCTTTTAGAAGGAAGAAGAATAACATGTGCTGAACTCTAACTTTGATATTTTTATATTTTTTACTTTTTATTTTCACATCAGTTAATTCATTCAGGCAACATTTATTGAACATACATTATGGACAAAGTTCATGCTAATGACAAGGTATAGAGCAAAGTTATGGTCTAGTAGGATAGGTGGACATTAAAAACAAAATGCTCACAGATACATATATAATCTTAATATTCACTATAAGCTATGAAAGTACAGTATAGAAGTTATAAGACCATACATTGGGAGACCTTATTTAGTATTAAGGATCAGGAAAGATGCCCCTGATGAAGTGACATTTAATTTGAACCTGAAGGATGCAGTTGGCCACAGGGAGGATGCAGGGGATGAGATTCCCAAGCAGAGAGAATCCAATGTGCGGAGAAGCTGAGGAAGTGAAAGAAAGATGGTGTGGCTGCAGTAAGAAAGGGAGTGGGGCGGAGGAGGGCACTGAGGGAGCCAGAGGTGTAGAAGGGCAAAGTCAGGGAAGATCTTGGAGGCCATCTTGGAAATGTTGCATTTTGCCCTGAGTATAGTGGAAACCCTTTGAAGGTTTTGTAAAAAGTTAATGAAATGATCCATTTTATGCCTGTAGTGAATTGCTTTGGTTGCTAAATGAGAATGGAGGGGAAAGGAAGCAAGAATGAAAGAAATCAAGTAGGAAGCTCTGGCTGTGGTCCAGAGGGGATGATCCATAGGACAGATGATTCGTTTTATTTGGGAAGATCAGGGAGAAAGATAAGTCATGGACAATTCCCAAATATCTGGCCTGAAGAAATGAAGACATCATATACTGAGATGAGGAAGCCTAGAGGTAGAGGAAATTTAAGGAGAAAGGTGGCATGTCCCTATTTAGCAGAACATGGAGACTCAAAGAAGCTGAGTTCCCGTTCATAGACACACCTTCCAGGGCAGAAGCGCATTACTGTGGCATCTTTGCAAGCTGCGTTGCCTTTCCAAAATAAACATTTCTATTTGTGTGCTTCCTTTGGATATATAAGTCTCCTTGGAAGTTACAAAGAGGCTGTAGCCCGCATGAACCCCTTTGACTCGGGTCCTGCATAGGAGGAGGAAGCTGACCTCTCCGGGAACCGAGCCTGTGGCCAGAGGGATGGATAACAGTGTTTAATAAAGAATATGCCGCTACGGGCTGACGGGCTTTTTATGCATTCACCAGACTGGTCCTGCCCAGCCTTTAATCCTTCCTGAGTTCCAACTAGGTAGAAAAAAAACTGCTCCACAAAGGACTTGAGATATTTTGCTGTGGTGGTGAGGAGCACGGGTTTGGAGACAAACACTCCTGGGTCTGAATTCCAGCTCCTACTGTCTACTAGCTAAGTAACCTTGGGCAAGTTTACTTCTTAGCCTTCTCTCTCAGTCTAAGGCAATTTGTGAAAACTATGGCTTCAAGAAATTTAGTTTTTAATTCCCCTTAGTGGATGTTATTAACCAAAGGCAAAATGGAAAAAAGCAAAGAAAAAATTATTCTAAATGTTAACATCAAAAATCTTTTTTCAGGTCACCCATATGCACAGAGAGAGACCTAAATATATTATTATTATTTCATTAGCATTTCACAATGAAACAGAAGTTTTCTTTCAAAATATTTTTTAAGCATATAGGTAGACATAAACTAGACAGGGGTGTAGCAAATAGAGTGTCTCAGGGGACAGCTGTGCCAGGTTCATTGCAGAGAATTAGATTGTCATTTTGTCACCTCACCAGGATCAGTCTCATCGGCCTCTCTTCTGTAACATGCGTTCAGTTAAACAAATATTTTATTTCTGATCTTTCATTGATTTCTAAGTTGTGGCTCTCTCCTGTGCCTGTCTGGTCGGATAAGTAGAGGTGTGCCTTGGTTTATAGATGAGATAAATGTGTGTGTGTGAAAAAGTATAAGTTAAAGCAATTTCAAAATCCCTTAAGAAGCTAGATATGGCAAAGAAACTCAAGGAAAATATGTTAACAAAACAGGTATTTGTTCTAACAAGTTAATTATAACTCATAAACTTACATTTTTAACTTTTAAATTTTATATTTGCCTATAATAAGGAATATTACTAGGAATAAAAAAATTTAATTTTCCACAATTTACCATTATCTCAATTTCTTTATTCTAAAGATACTGGGATTAGAAAAATGTTGACAAGGGGCTTCAAACATTGCTATAATATTTTGTTTCTTAAAAACATGATACAAAACAAACATGATAAAATATTAAAATTTAAGAAAACTATATGGTAAGTATATGGGTGTTTGTTACAGTATTTTAAAATATTTTTTCTACTAGAAATATTTTACAGTACAATAAGGGAAAAATAAAAAGATTTCTAGGTTATTCACATTTTCTTCTTTTCTTTGTTGCTATAGAAAGTGTTTATCTTTTCTGGAACATTTAGAAAAAACTTGGATCCCTATGAACAGTGGAGTGATCAAGAAATATGGAAAGTTGCAGATGAGGTAAGGATGCTAACTGAAATAATTTTGAAAGAGGTAGCTCATACATACATGATTGTCATAACAGATCATTCTATATGCTTTCTGTATGTGCATATATGTGTGTGTGCACAACTTTAAAATGGAGTACCCTAATATACCTGGAGTACCTACTACTTTTGATTGGACCTATCCCACTCCTCAGTGGTAAGGCTCTACTATCAGGCTCTGTCTTGGTCCATTCAGACTTCTATAACAAAATATAGATTGGGTGGCTTATAAACAATAGCTATTTATTTCTTACAGTTCTGGAAGCTGGGAAGTCCAAGATCAAGGTGCCATCAGATTTGGTCCTGGTTCATACATGGTACCTTCTTGCTATGTCGTCACATAGTGAAGGGCAAGACCTTTCTGGGGTCTCTTTTATAATAGCACTAATCCCATTCATGAGGGCTTTGTCTTCACGACCTAATTACCGCCCAAAGATCCCATCTCCTAATACTGTCACCTTGGGGGTTAGGATTTCAACATATAAATTTTAGGGTACACAAACACTTAGACCATAACATTCTAGTCCTGGCCCCCCAAATTCATGTCTTTTTTATATGCAAAATACATTTATTCTATCCCAATAGCCCCCAAACTCTTAACTTATTCCAGCATCAACTTAAAAGTCTAAAATCCAAACTGCCATCTGAATATCTAAATCAGATAGGGTCTCTAAATCAGAGACTTAAAATATGATTCATCTTTAGGCAAATTGCTCTCTGGCTGTGAACCTATGAAATCAAACATGTTATGTGATTCCAAACTAGAATGGTGAGACAGGCACAGGAGAGACATTCCCACTGCAAAATAGAAATAGAAAAGAAGAATTGAATGACAGGTCCCTAGCAAGTCCAAAACCTTAAGGCTTGAGAATAATCTTCTTTGCTCTGCCCTCCATGTCCACTGGGTTGGGGGGTCCCACCTTCCAGACACAGTGGGATGGAGGCCCTCCCCCCATGGATTTGGGCACCTCACCTCTGCAGTGTCTCTGTGCTCCAGTCCCACATCTGTGGCTCCCCCAGGCTGGAATTACATGCCCAGTGGTTCTACTGGTCTGGGATCACAGGGGCAGCCCCATCTCCACTGCTACACTGAGCATTGCCCTAGTGGGGGATCTCTGTGGTGCCCCCCCCCTATGGTGGTTCTCTGTCTGGGCCTTGTGACTCTATGGGGAATCCTTTGAAATTTAGGTGGGAACAGCTCTGTCCCCACAGCTTTGCTGGGTGTAGTGCACATACACTGGGAACCACCAGAGCTGCACCTGGGGTGGCAGAAATGCATGGCCATGGAGCGTGAAGAGCAAAGTCTGAGCCCCTCCTTTGAAATCTTTCTGCTCCCCCAGCCCCTTGCACTCTGGACCTGTGATGGAAGAGGCAGCCCGGAAGATTTTCAAAATGGCTTTGGGATCATTCTTCCATTGTCTTGGACTATAGGTCCTGGCTTCTGTTTAGATGGCTGGCTAATTTTTTCATTGTCTTGATGAATAGCTCATAGCTTCTGTTGAGATGGCTGGTCCATATAATCTCTTTATGAAATTTGGCCACACCCTTTGTATTATCTCCTGATTAGGCCTTCTCATTTTTTACAATATGGAGAGGCTGAGAATTTTTCAAATTTTTAAGTTATGTTTTTATTTTGGGTCAACAATTCCATCTTTAAGCCATTTCATATTTTACTATAAGCAGTCAAGAGGAACGAAGTTTCTCCTTCAATATTTTTGCTTAAATGTTTCCTCAGCCAAATATCCAATTTCATTGCTCACAAGTTCTACCTTCCACAAAACACTAGGACATAAACACAATTCAACCAAGTTCTTTGCCACTTTATAATAAGGATGGCCTTTCCTCCATTTTCCGATAACGTGTTCTTCATTTCCATCCGAGAACTCATCAGAATGGCTTTTACCATCCATGTTTCTAGCAATATTCTGCTCATGACCACTTAGGTATTCTCTGAGAAGATTGTAGCTTTCTCTCCAACTCTCCTCCTCTCCTTCTGAGCCCTCATCAGAATAACCTTTAACAGTCCATTCATGGCAATGAAGGCTTTTTCTAGCATGTACCTCAAAACTATTACAGTCTCTACCCATTACCCAGTTTCAAAGCTGCTTCCACATTTTTGGGTATTGTTACAGCAGCACCCAACTCCTAGTACCAATTTTCTGTCTTAGTCTGTTCAGGCCGCTACAACAAAATACCATAGACTGGGTGGCTTATAAACAACAGAAATTTATTTCTCACAGTTACGGAGGCTGGGAAGTTCAAGATCAAGGCGCTGGCAGATTTCGTGTCTGGTGAAGGCCTGCTTCCTCTTAATTGGCTGTGTTTTCCTTGTGTTCCTGCATGGTAGAGGGGCAAGTTATTTCTCTGGGGTCTCTTTCACAAGGACACTAATCCAAATCAAGGGTTTAGAATGGAGCCCTCATGACCTAACTCACCTCCCAAAGGCCCCACTTCCTAATACCATCACCTTAGCAATTAGGATTTCAACATATGAATTTGGGGGGACACAAAATTTAATCTACAGCAGATTCCATAGATAGTGTTACTTTGGCCATCCCTAACCGATTTGCATCAATGAAACATGAATTAGGAGAGACCCAGGCAACTCTAGTACACTGGAGTTATCCCTGATATAAGGGATCACCTCTATGTAGCTTCTCATCTACTCCCTACCTGGATTCTGAAGCTTTCCCAGCTCAAGGTGGAAGCTTTGGTTTGCATGATATACTTCTCTGCGAAGCATAGGTTTAGTACATAAGGATGATGCTCATTCTCGAGCACCCACAAATTACTATAATCATCTTTGGAAGTCACCAGGAGTCATCTGCCAGTGGGGGATGTGGCTGTGAGTGCTGCCAGGCAAAATGCCACATGACCTAGATGAGGCAGATGCCATCCTTTGAAGCCATTAGGACACCATTTAGGAAATATAGGGATTAAAGTGGAATCAAAATTCCTAAATAATACTCTTTGTTTATCCAACTGGTAGTTCATTATAATCGAAGGCATTATACAGAGGAATTTGGTGGGAGGAGAGATGGAGTGAAATTCTTGCTTCTCTTAACAGAACACCTTTACTGTAAACATATAATTTTTGAAATAGAGGTATTATATAAAAGAAAAATGGAACATAAATTGTTCTATGTTGTTAAACTTGAGGTTTAAGTCCAAAGCTCTGGATGGTGGCAGAATAGAATCATGAGAACTAAGAATGTTGAGACTCAAAGGTCTCCTTAGGGATCAACTTTATTCCTTTTATTCCACTATGTCCTGCACTTTTGGTCCTTGTAGTGCAATTTCTGTTTATCCCAAATGTTATTCCCTCTCTGCTTCCCTTCAGAGTCGACCTTGCCAGGAGCTTTGAAATGCCTGTGAGTGTTAAACACTTACCCACTGAGTGCTCAACCTTAACATGCCCCTAATAAAATGTACTTAGATTAACCATTTTCATTATCAAAGTTTCCTTATTACCCAACAAACACAGGGGTTTTAAAGAAAACATTAACTAAATTGCAAGTGACACATTTTAAGATCTTTGATGTGACTTCAGAGAATGAACTATAGGAACACAATGCAACGGGAGATAAACTTGGGAAGGAAGACATTAGCCTTTATAAAATCTGCAAGTCTTGCCAAGTCACAATAAAGTTTACGGGAAAGCAGGATCATAAAAATAATCTAAAATTTTAGAACATGTGGTTATGATTTTAAATACCAATATAATGCAAAAAGTTTATCTGTTTAGATTTTTATTTGTCCAGTTTATATTTAGGTTTATCTTTTTATTGATCCCCTTTTTAATAATTTGCTGTTCACAAGAAAAGGTGATGATGCTTTCCTAATTTTAATGCCATGAGTTCTTTAAGTAGTAGTGCTAAGTTTTTGTTGAAGAGGCCTGAAAATAGCACACAAGCAAATAAGCAAGCAACAACCTAAAGAAGCAGAAAAGGCACTTGGGTTTAAAAGTTACAAGGCCTAGTCTTTGGTACTATGTGGTTGATCACATAATTTATCCAAACAGAACATTTTCAGGTGTGTCACACTCTAAACTGTACAGGACACTAGAACAAAAGGTAAAACCCAGGACCATCCAGGGCTAACCAGGATGTATGTCATCTCACTTAGTCCTCTCTTGACCTTGGTGTGACTGGTATGTCGAGAGGGAAATGAACTGAGTAATGACAGATAGCCAAACACCTGAATCTTATCCCAGTGGTACCTCCTGCATAATTCCCCATTCTCCCAGATGGAAATCAGCAATATGCACAATGACAAAGCCAGGTCAAGAAACACTTTATTTGTGGCTTGGACTTGGTGCCGAACTCCAACGTGGAAACTTATTCTTGCTGATATGGACTGCATTTTATGAAACCATGTGGAGTCATGCTTAGTTACTAGTTTGAAGGCTTAGAACCAAAGCTGACCCAAACAGCCACCTTTCCCTTTATGCCCTAGGTCCACACCTTCATCTTGGCACTCTGTGCCTTGTCATCCCATGGACAAATTTAAAGCAAGTCCAAGGGAGGGAAAGAGACTTTCTAAGACCTAGAACTTAAGTGGTTTAATTTCCTCATCCCAAAACAACTCATGCCCAGGTGGCTTCTCTCCAGGACCAGTGCCAGACTGATTTTACCAACTCTGTAGACCAAAGAGAATCTCAAAATAGACTGGATTTCAAGGAAAAAAAAATAGACCCCTAGCATCATGGCTCAATAAATTGGTAGGGTTGTTGTGGCTTTGTAGGTTTATATGTAAAATGGGCCCAGCCAAGTTCCTCGCAAATATAGGTAATAAGTAAGAGTTATTTATCATCATGTTTCTGTCTGGTCTTCACCTGGCCAACCTTTAAATGTTGTTGTTTGACAGAATCCTAATTCTTGTCTTGCTTTACTTAGTCTTCCTGGGGAATTTCATGTATCCTCTTGGCTTTAACTATCTGCCCATTCCCAGAGCTCCCTTCCTGATCTCTCAGCATATGAAAAGCACCGTATGTAGATAAGTAAGTTTCTCACCTGCCCCACCCACACACCCATCCTGTGTTCCTAATTCCTACCAATGGCATCACCACCCTCAGTTTCCCAAAGCCAAGGCCTGAGACTCATCCTTGACCCTCAGTTTCCTGCACCAGTCCCCACATATCAAACCCCTGCAAATATCTAGAATATATTCACTTTTCTTCATTCCCACTTGACACCACGAGTATCTCTTACATGAATTTTTGAAATAGGTTCCTGGCTGGTTTCCCTCATTGGCTCCCTATATAGGTCATTTGTTCTTCACAGCTCTGGTGATCTTTCTAAACCCCATGTCTGATCATTTGTTTCTTCTCTTCCTGTGGCTCCTTATTGCCTGCTTGACAAAGTCCACGCTGCTTAAGGTGGCTTACAGGGTCCTTCATGATTTGGTCCTTGTCTGCCTCTAAACTCACTCCCCACCTCCCCCGCTGCCCATGCTTCAGCTACACTGAATTTCTTTGTTTTCTCTAAAGCACTTTGCTGTCTGGAGGTTTTTTGACATGCTGTTCTATGTACCTGGGAAACTCTCCCTTCACTGCCTGCTCCTATTCATCATTCAGGCCTCTCCTTACACACTGCTACTTCTCAGAAACCTGCCCTGACACTCCAGGGTTAAGGGAGGAGCCTTACTTGGTGTAGGCTTTAACTCCACCCCTTTCATAGCATTTCTCACACTACCTAGAGATTTACCTCTCAACTTGTCCATATCCCTCACTGGACTGGAAGTTCCTTGAGGTCAGGGATCATGTCCTATTTACTGTAGGATTTCCAGTGCCTAGAACGGTGTTGGGTACATGGATGGTATTCAATAAATATTGATCGAATGAATAAAGGATTCTTTCATTTTGTGTGTAATATATCATGAAAACAGCCTTGTGATTGACACACAACAGGTAACACCATCCGCATTTTAGTAATGAGGATACTGAGCCTTGAGAAGTCTGCAGACCTGGGCTGGGATTACTGGAGGATGCAGGAACAGAGCTGCGTCCCTGACTTCTGGTTCACAGGCTACTGCAGCCCCGTGAGCTGTCTGAGCATTGTCCGTAATCTAAGTACCATGTCTGTTGGTTTCAGAATGAAGGCTTTTTTGGTAATTGTTTGCTGTTTAGAATACTTACAGAATAGTTTCCATCTGTACACATTGATAGTCAGGTAAGTCATTTTAGAGAGCAAGCTAAATAGCAGAAATAGTGGCCTTTTAAGTTGAAATTTGCCCTGAAAAACCTGCAGAGTAGCAAAAGGAGTATCAAAAGGAGTTGACAGTGTCTATTTTTATAACTTCCACTAATGGACTATTCAGGCAAACCACTATTAACTTTTCTGATTTTTTTCATGTTTCCTTGTCACAAGAGCAAACTCTTGCTCCATAATGACATTCCAGAATACAGCAATAGCAAAAGTCAACATTTCGAATAAAATGCCTGGTCCTTTGCAGACTGTTAGATGTTTTTTTTAGTTTGATATGTTACAAAACAAAATTTATTCTTTCTTCACAGCAATTTGGGAAGTACCTACAATTTATTAGCTCAACAGCATGAAGCTGGCAATTCTTTTGTCCTAAAGTTCTTTATATCCACACACTGTTGATGTGCTTCTTTCTTTATTTTTAATGCTAATGCCTGTACATTTCTATTTTTAATCTATTGCAAAATGGGTTATGATGATAGTATTAATATTATATTGGGAATATATATGTATGTGTGTGTATATATATATATATATATATATTTTAAAGGATTCAGCTGCTAATGATCACTAAAATAGATGAACTCTATAGCAATTTCCATTTTGGTCTTTTTTCCACCCAAAGTGCTTACCTCTTTGAACAGTAACTTCCCACTTATTATTTTTCTCATCTGGACTATAATTTCCTTCAAGGCAGAGGCTAGCGTCATTCATCTTTGAATCCCTGGGTCTCTCATAATACCTAGAATTTAATAAACTCTCATTAAGAGTCTATTGAAGGAACATATGACTAAGCAGCCATTTATATTCAAATGATCAGTAGACAAATTTAAGCCACTGTTATTAGCACATACAGTTGGTAACAATAACTTCATATCTTTTCCAAAACAATTGCTAGTCTATCTTGCTTCCTGTTGTCTCTCCAAAGCCTATTACAATGTCTGGCAGAAGATAGGTACTTAATAACTTTGTTGAATGTTCACTGACTTCAAATTTAAAGTTATATTAACTTATATTGACCTTTCTCTAGTGAATATGATTCTAAAAGGTATTTTTTTACTGTGCTTCATAGTGAATAGAAAAAGGAGATAGGAATGTTGCAAAATACCTTCCCAATACCTGATCATCTCTGTGTCATTCATTTTTGAAATTCAGTTCTCTAAATATTGACAGTGTTTAATTATTTACTACAAATAAAGCATTTCATCTGGGGAAAAACACACTTTGCTCAGTTCTTCACCATAGGAAAGTGCAAAGTATAACACAGTAAAGTAGCTTTCATAGTATGGCCTTAAAAAATTAGTGTCTGATTGGTATGATTCTGGAAGAAGAATCTTACCAAAATCTCAATCTTGTTACTGCGGGCATGATTTAACTTCATAGCATTGTAGTACTCTCTACTAACTTACTTCCCAAGGCAACTTGGGGAGGGAAAATCTTACAAACTTTATTGTGACACTAGGGCAGCGTTTCAGTGACTGAGCCTGTGTCCTTGAGGTTTCCCAGGCTCCAACAATACTAATCATTACCATGTATTAGGTGCTTACCGTGTGCCATACTCTGTGGCAGCCTCTTTTTATGAATTATCTCAGTAATCCTCCTAACAACCTTTTGAGATCAACAGTATTATTTTCTCCATTTTTTACATGTGAGGTAAATTAGACTTAAAATAACACATCTGACATCATGAGCAAATGAGCAGAAGTGTGCAGATTCAAAGCCAGTTATGTTTGACTTCACTGGCTTCGGTCTTAGCCAGTGCTTTTTTTTATGGTTAATTTGGCTTAAAAAAAAATCTTCAAGTGCTGCTTATAGACAGTAAAGCACCAACATCCCTATCAGTATTGGGGAACTTCTAATTTTTTTTTCTTTTTTATTTATTATTCCAGGGTTTTGTGAGGGTACAAACATTATAGTTACACTTTATGTCTTTGCCTCACCCAAATGCGGGTTAAAAGGCATGCCCTTCCCTCCCTTTAATGCTCCCCGTGTCCTTTAGGGAACTTCTAATTTTATAATTTGCTTTTGGGGGGATTTTATAGAGTCTTGAAGACTCAGATGAAGTGATGTTTTAGATCACACTCTATAATGGCAGAGCTAAAACCAGCACTCATTCATCCTTACATTTTGATTCCTTTATCATTGATCAAAACTCTGTTTTTTTGGCTACCAGCATTCTAGCAACTCAGTACATTTTTGCTGAAAGAATGAATGAATGTGTTGAGACTGACAGCATTAGTACTGGGGACACAGAGCTAAAGAGCATGTCTTTACCCCCAAGAAACTTAACAGGGAAACTTGCACAAATACTGCTATCACTAGGTGCCCTGAGGGATGATCAAGGATATTCAGAAGGATACTTCAGGCTGAGCAATGGCACAAACTTGAGAACATCAAGGTGCTTAGGGAACTACGAGCTGTTTGGTACTGCGGGGAATAAGAGTAGCGGGGGCTCCATTCTGGATGCCTTATATACCATGTGAGAGAGCTTAGATTTTATTCCATCAGGAGGAGAACTACCATAGGATTTAAAACAGAGAAATGATATGGTCACACCTGCATTTTAGGAAGATCCCTAGAGGGTGGATTGACAATTTGACCAATTGAGATTTGTAGGATGATGCCTAGGAGTTGATGACACCTGGACTGGGGTCACTATAATTTTTATCAATGTTTACAGTCAGTTTTTATGGAATTCAGGAGATGAGTAGTGATTTGCCATATGTAATTTTACAAACCTCCCCAGTTGATTCTTTTATGCTATCTTTCATCCTCTGTTATGACACAGCAGAGGATAGGAGGTAGTGTAAAGAATGTCACATACCTGCATCCTTTGTGCTACCTTCTGTCTTCTACTGTCTGCATAGGATGCTGTAATGCAGGGAATAACTGCATTCTATATATATTGTCTTTTCTAGCATGCATTCAATTGTGTTGTAATTATTTATGTACATCTTTATAAACCCTGAGCCTTGCAGGAGCCCTGTGCCATTTATCATTTCCTGAATGCCTACTGGAATGCCTGGTACATAATAGGCATTCACTGAAAATTTCCTGAATGTATGAAGTACAGAGATGAAACAAGTTATAGACTGATCCTTTAGAGCTGCCAAGATTATAAATAGACTTTTGCTCAATCTAATTCAAATAGCGGGAGTTGGAGGAGGGGTGGTATGAAAAATTTAGAACTCCTTTGTTTATTTTTAGAATGCCAACCTCTGGAGTGTTTTTAACCCTCTGGTATCTGAACTACTCTCTCTAATCACAGTATTTTCTCTCTTTCTTTTTTGCAGGTTGGACTCAGATCTGTGATAGAGCAGTTTCCTGGGAAGCTTGATTTTGTCCTTGTGGATGGAGGCTATGTCCTAAGCCATGGCCACAAGCAGTTGATGTGCTTGGCCAGATCTGTTCTCAGTAAGGCAAAGATCTTGCTGCTTGATGAACCCAGTGCTCATTTGGATCCGATGTGAGTTTCAGAATCCTGTCATTTAATAGCATAGTGGGAGCAGAATTATTGAGACCTACTTCAGAGTGACACACATTCCCCTTAGGCTGGCATGTCTGCAAGTGGGGGACTGGATATGAAATAATTGCCCAGTGAAATGTCACTATTTGACATGAGCCCAAATGATTATTTCCTTGAATAAGAGCCCTGTGTTCTCTGATAGTTTGAAATTTCACACAAATTCTTCCCCCATGTCAACACATGATGAAATATTTAGATACATGGGCATAATCTGATGCTTACGATGTTTCTTTATATTCCATTTATGCCATAAACATATTTGTAGCACAAAATAAAGAACTGCTGGTGATTCTGCATAATGAAAAGTATACTTATTTATGAAGTTTTCTTCAAAATATTTGTCCTATTTATTTATAAAGAATCGACTCCATGGTTGGAAAGTTGATTGTGGCTAACTATGTATCAATATTATGTTAAAAGTATTTAAAGAAAGACTTAATATTAAAGAAATAAATTAATAGAACAATAGGAATGTTATCAAGGATAAAGTCAGATTATTCACGTTTTGTGATATTATGTATATTTTTTTCTTTCTTTTGTAGAACATACCAAATAATTAGAAGAACTCTAAAACAAGCATTTGCTGATTGCACAGTAATCCTCTGTGAACACAGGATAGAAGCAATGTTGGAATGCCAACGATTTTTGGTGAGTTTTCGTAAATTTACTTAAGATCTCATTTCCCTTGTAATTTTTGATAACAATCTCATATGTGATAGTTCCTTCAAATAGCAGCAGTGTATAAATTCTTCCTTAAAACATTTGTCTTACAGCCATCTAGCTTTACTATAGCTTTAAAATAGCTGCACAAGTTTTTCACTTTTATCTGAGCTACCAGGTGAGGTTAAAATTCAGTAAATCTAAAATGGTAGCGTATCACTAAGATCCATTAACAAACAGGATATCGATATCTATACTTTTTGAGCCCTTTATTTGGGGACCAAGTCATAAAAAATACTATTTTTAAAAAAGTCCTTTTGATTCTTTCAATAGCTTAATCTCCCTTGGAAGGGGGCCAGGCCAGGCCAGGTTGTCTTATACTCTGATTTATGGTTTTAATGTGGTAGTTAAGAAGTTCCTTTTTCCTAGTCATTAGTTGAAGCTCAGGTTAGTGCCTCTCTCAACCACCTTCTAATTGGGATTTCAAAACTGTCACAGATTCCTTCAAGTAATGTTTACGAATTCCCTCTGGTTTAGTCACAAGGAAGTTCTGAGGATGATGTATCACGTCATTTCTGTTAAGGCTTTTGAGCCTCCCGGAGGTAAATGCTTTCCTTACTGAAGGATTGTAATTACCATTATTATTACTAAGTTTGAAGTGACAAATTAGGGGGCAGACTCCCAACCTCTTGCCCTGCCATGGGTAAGTTCAAGAGGTTTGGTAAAGCCCTCTGTCCTCTGGCCTTGGATTTGTGCAACCTCAGCATGTACAAGAGCCATATTAAACTCAGGCACATCCTGACCAGCTTGGAATTGTTAAGCTTCAGATCCACTGTTGAAGAGGTTCAACTCCTACAGTGCTGTGGTCTTACACTCATTTTTAAGGTAATATATAAGGAGTCTAACACGAATTATTCTTGTTTTCAAAGTACTCTTGGTTCCTCTAAAGTTTCCTAAAGAAGCACGTTGCCCAATACTACTAATTAAAAAAAAAAAAAATCTTCCAGCCACTAAGTTGAAAATTACAGCTAATTTCACAGATGGTACAACCTCCTTAAAGCAAGAGGACACAACAGTTAAATGGGATAGACCAGATTGTTCAAAATGCAAAGCTCTGGACACTGTGCATTCTTTTGGCTTTTATGTTCCTTCGAGCCTATGCCAGTTTCGGTCCCTGCTCTGGTGTGACCTGCCTTCTGTTCCAGATCTCACTAACAGCCACTTCCCTAGGTCATAGAGGAGAACAACGTGCGGCAGTATGATTCCATCCAGAAACTGCTGAGCGAGAAGAGCCTCTTCCGGCAGGCCATCAGCCCCTCGGACAGGATGAAGCTCTTCCCCCACCGGAACTCAAGCAAGCGCAAGTCTCGACCCCCCATCACTGCTCTGAAAGAGGAGACAGAAGAAGAGGTGCAGGAAACCAGGCTTTAGAGAGCAGTGCAAATGTTTGCGTGGGACATTTGCTCATGGAGTCAGAGAAGGAAACAGTTGCCTCTGCCTCAGAAAACAAGGATAAATAATGTTTAAAAAAAAAAAGGAAACATTTTGGTAAGAAGAATTGAGGACATTGAAGACGTTCATATGGTTCTGGATAAAGGGCTTCCTGGCAATGGCTGAATTAATGTGAAAGGTACTACAAGTCCTTGAAGATTTACCACTTCTGTTTTGCAAATCAGATTTTCCTAAAAACCTTTGCCCTTTGATAGTAGTTGGAAAGGCCGCTATAAATGTCAATCAGCTTAGTTCAGTTTATTCGTTTAGTGAAACTTGTTAGTTTGTAGTGTTGGAGAACTGAAATCATACCACTTAGAGTTATGATTAAATAATGATATCTGGGCACTTTAGTGTAAACATTTATATAAATTTATATCCCTTTTTCTCTTCTCTCCCAAAGAAACACAGCTTTATTGTCTGCTAACATTCTGACTATCTCATTTCCAAGCAAGTATTAGAATACTGCAGAAATCACAAGATAGCCATCAAAATATACACCATTCAACATCTAGTGATCGGTGAGGAAACAGAACTTTCAGATCCTAGAAACCAGAGTTAGTACCATCCAACTCTACCAAAAATCTGAATAATTCAGATAATCAGAATACACCCCTTACCTGGGAAAAAGGATGTTACAGTCTCATGTACAGGACAGGATAGCTTCCTTGATGTGGAAGGTGACATGCCTTTCCCCAGCCTCTGGGAAGTAACAAGCTCGTAAGATCCTTGATTGCAGGATGGCTAGAAAAGTGTGTTAGTGCAAACTGGCGCAGGAAAATCCTTCTTGCCACAGAAGCTCCAGGTAGAGGGTGTGTAGGTAGATAGGCCCTGGGTGCTGTGGGTAGATGCACATGAAATCCAAGCATCTAGCATAGGGTTATGGGCCTATGTTTTCTGGCTAGCTGTAAGTGCTTCATA